GTGATCTTGTCACGCGCGCTAGATCGGTGAAAGCATCTGGCATGCTCTGAGCTATGCTCTGGAGATCTAATATGCGCTGCACTTCAGCTTCAGACTGAGCGGTGCGGGGATCTAAATGAGACAAAGTGGAAGTCGTCCACTATAATTCGCGTCGTTCATTAGGAACGTTGACGTTCTTATCTCCCCCTAACGACGGGAAGACTGTCTCATAGAAGTGACAATCCGCGAAACGAGCGGTAAACAGATTGCCTGTCAAAGGTTCTAAGTAACGAATAATCGAAGGAGAATCATATCCGACATAGATTCCCATCCTTCGCTGAGGCCCCATTTTTGTACGTAAGGGCGGCGAGATCGGCACATAGACCGCACAACCAAAAACGCACAGATGCGATATGTCGGGTTCGCATCCGGTGACCAACTGAAGGGCACTAAATGGTTGTGTCGCAACAGGCCTCAGGCGGACCAACTTTGCTGCGTGCAATATTGCATGGCCCCAAGCAGCGATCGGGAGCTTGGTACGTATGACCAACGATCGAGCAATCATTTGTAAACGCTTAATGAAAGCCTCTGCCAGGCCGTTCTGGGTGTGAACATGGGGTACAGGATGTTCAACTTCAACCCCAACCGACATGCAATAGTCATCAAAAGTTTTAGATGTGAATTCTCCAGCATTATCCAATCGAATAGATTTGATCGGATAATCAGGGTGGTGAGCCCTGAGCTTGATAACCTGAGCCAACAGTTTGGAGAATGCAGCGTTCCTTGTGGACAACAAGCACACGTGTGACCAACGTGTAGAAGCGTCAACCAAAACCATAAAATATCTAAATGGTCCGCAGGGAGGTTGAATCGGTCCACAAATGTCCCCCTGAATCCGTTGTAGAAAAATGGGAGGATTCGAATGAATCTTGTCATAAGAAGGCTTAGTAATAAGCTTTCCCATAGAACATGTTTGACATGCAATTTCGTGGATCGAACCTAAGCTTCGGGTTAGTGGATGCCCGTGTGAAGTTTTGAGGATACGGCGCATCGCTATTCGTCCAGGATGTCCCAAACGATCATGCCAAAGTGTAATTTCGTGCGCGGTCCCTGTGGTAGGGCCGGCCACATAGTGGCATTCTATGGGGCGTATGGTCGTAGTATACAGACTACTCGGGTTACGCTCCATCTTCTCTAGAATACGCTTCTGGCCATATTCGTAGGAAGTTACGCACAGAAATTCAACTCCGTTTTCTACGTGGGTTTCAGCGTGGTAATTGTTATCTCTAATGTCCTTGAAACTTAGTAACGTTCTTCCGGAACGTGGAGAATAGAGTGCCTCAGCAATGGTCAAGATTGTACCATTGGACAACATTATACGTGCCTTACCGTATCCTTTGATCAGGTTGGATGGGCCTGAGAGGGTTGTCAGAGGTGCATTCTTAGGTACGAAGTTAGTGAAATAGATGCGTTCACGCAAAACAGTATGCGTGGTTGCACTATCTGCCAGACAACTAACTTTCCCATTAGTCATACCTAGAATGAAAAATTAATTTGAATCGGTCACATGCATAAAAGTTTATAAAAACAAGTATCAATTCAAAATAATTTCATTTATTCAAGGAAAAAACTTAATATCCAAAATAAATCGCCAACTAATAATCCAAAACATAAAGGAAAATTGTTCAAAATCAACCAAAAACAAGGTGGGGTTCGGCCACAAGGTGGAATTCGGCCCCAATTGTCTTATTTTAACTGAAAAATAAGTCTATGTCTAAGATTCTAATCTTCCATAGGAGTGGTATCCTCCTGAAAATCAGAAACCTCCATCTTTGTAGTCTCCGGTTCGTCCACTTGCAGGAAGTTTGATTCAAACTTCGTACGACGAGAATGATATGCATCCACAACCTTCTTGGGAGCACGGCAAATACGGGACCAATGATCCTTGGAACCACAACGATAGCACATATCGTCATTCATTGTGGCAGGTGCTTTGCCCTTATTCTTGAAGTTCGGGGCCTTGGGAGCGAGGTTTGGGCGCTTCTGGGCTTTGTTTCCTCCCTTGGATGGGCCTTGGCTCTGTTGACCTTGGTGGGATGGCTTCTGGCCGCCCTTACCACGCCTCTTTTGACGTTTTGGGTGCTGATGAGTGCTATAATGTGCTTCAGGCACAGCAGTAGCCCCAGTAGGTCGAGCTTGATGATTCTTCATCAACAGCTGGTTCTGCTTTTCAGTAAGAAGTAAAACAGAGATCAAATACGAGAACTTAGTGAACTTCTGAGCTCTATATTGTTGCTGCAGGACAATATTAGAAGCAGAGAAGGTCGAGTAGGTCTTCTCCAGGAGATCCTCTTCAGTCAAAGTTTCATTGCAAAACTTGAGAAGTGATCGGATTCGACAAACTTCAGAATTATATTCATTCACAGACTTAAAGTCTTAGAAGCGCAAGTGCTGCCAGTCGTGTCTTGCTTCAGGCAAGAATATGTCCTTTTGGTGATCGAAACGATCAGCTAAAGCGACCCATAATGCACGTGGATCCTCCTCAGCAAGGTACTCAGTTTGTAGAGCGTCATGGATATGTCTTCGGATGAAGATCATAGCAGTGGCTTTTTCAGCCTCGCCAACAGGTTTATCTGTTGCTTCTTCAATAGCAGGACGCAAGTTCTTTGCAGTGAGGTGGAGCTTCACATCTTGAACCCACTTGAGGTAGTTCCTTCCAGAAACCTCCAAAGCGGTGAAGTCGAGTTTGTTCAAGTTCGACATGTTCCTATCACAAAATAGATGGACAAGATGTGGTTAGTGTAATGGAGAAAAAATCAATCCATTCACATAGGAGTAGAACATACAGGTTCTAATAGACATGTATTGGTTTAATTTTGCATGAAAAACTTCGGGTTTTCATGGGTGATATGTTTAAGTGAAAACTTCGGGTTTTCTAACAAGGCATGTGTATAAGAAACTTCGGGTTTCAAAGTAATTATGAACTTCAGGTTCATATATTCCTGCAGGCAAACACAAATATATATGCAAACAAATATGCAAAGAATATATGCAGAAATATTGTATAATGATAAGTGAATTAATTTATTTTTGGTCTTCGGGGCCAAATTAAAGTGTGGGTGAAAATATAAAAACCCATATTATTTAAAAAAATTAAATAATAAAATCTCGGGGCCTAAAAATATAGGCCGAGGACCCCCGGGTGTAGGCTGCAGGCCCACGGGGTGAGAAGGGAATGGGCTGCTGTGTGCAGCCCTAAAAAAAATTTCTCTTTTTTTTTCGGTATGGGCCGCTGCAGGCGAGCCCAGGAAAATAAAAAAAACAAATTGTTTTCTTTGTGGGCTGGGCCGCTGCAAGCGAGCCCAGCAAAAAAAATTGTTTTTTCTTTTGTTACACGGGCCGAGAGACAGAGCCCGAGTAGGGTTCGGGAAAGAGACCCAAAAGAAATCCTAGCCGTGCTGGGTGTGCAATGCCGAAGAAGAAAGCCGGAAAATTTTGACGGCGTCGGGGTTGTTGGGACTTGGGGTGAGTCATGGTTGTCGTGGACAATCACGGAGATAAGAAAATCTCAACGTTTCAACAACTATAAAACCCTAAAAAAAATTGAAATCGAATTTTTCAAAAAAAATTCCGACGAGATTCCGGTGAATCTCGGTTCAATTACCGACATGGGACGACTTCAGGTCGTTTATAGCAAGAACCAATAGGTTCGTGGTTATGGCTGTAGGCCACTCCATGATCGGGGGACACCATGAAGGGTGTCGGGATTTTGGGTTTTTGGGGCTTGGCTCCGTGGGTTTCTGGGAACAAGGAGAGCTGAATGCTCTCTGATTTGCGTGTGATACCCCATCGCAAAAAAAATGTTTTTTTTTTTTCAATTCAATTATATTATATGCATGTATAATTTTAATGAATCACATATTTACGTTGATGCATATGCAAATAATAGTTTCAATGCATGTACATATGTAGGATTCAATTCATGACAAATATCAAATTCACATAATTGTAGCAATTTTGATGATGAAGCATACACAATTTATGTAGAATCTAAAATACGTAAAACGTAAAGTTGGGTCATGCATCATGGTGAATGTTCATGCTATCAGGGCTTGCAAAATATCGAGTTAAAAGCCGTTGTTTGGAAAGAACCTGATTGCGTGATGATATGGATGAACTGGTTTGATGCAGAAAAAAAAAATCTCCAACGTCAGATTCCTAAGCGCAGCGGTAGGAGCGTGATGATAACGTGTTGTGGTCTATTTTATCTGACAGAGAGAGTAGGGCCGGTGGCAGAGAGAGAGAGGAGAGAGATGTGTGTTTGTAGAATTGTAGGGGAATGTGTGTGTTGTTATCCCTCCTACATTGTGCCTTTATTTATAGTAGTAAAGGGAGAGAAGATATTTCTTCTCCTCCAAGTAATACAAGTTGTAATAGGAAAGGATAAATAGAATCAAATCTTATCTAGGATTTACACAATCATACTTAAACTAGGAATGTTTACAACAATTATCAATTTATATCACCTAACTAAAAAACTATCAACATTTAAATCACATGTTATAATTTGCAAAATTAAATTACCACTTGCAACGTCGTATTCGGTATTCTCTTCTGAAAACGAATATGAGTCTGCAGATGATCTGCACCATCCAACACATTGACTGTTCCAGACAGTTGTGATTATTTAACATTTATATCTCAAATTTTAATCCTTTGAAACTAAAATAGAATAGGAAAATTGAGCTAACTAGCCGCTTTACAAATACACCAACCAAAATTAGCCCTACTTTCAAATATGCAATATCTAATAGTCCTTTTTGACGAAAATACCTTTAATATTAGGCCAATATTATACTAATATTGTCTCGAGAATGTATCAATAATGTGTCGATAACGATAATATCTTCGTCAAAGAGGTCGGTAGAGATTTTAATTCAAGGACTAGTTTTTAGTTAGAGAGTTTGTAAATGGGCCTACTAAGCCCAATGGCCCAATAAAATGATAGAAAAGAAAAGAAAAAACCCGGAATCCAAACTCGGCGGGTAACCCGAAATCTTTGCAGCAAGGTTTCCGATTGATGAAAATTGGTATCAACTAATCTGAGCTCGATGGGGGAGGCAGCCATGAAAATTGAAGATTGACTCGGTCTGTATCAAAAATCGATCATCCACAATCCACAATTTGCCTGCGAGTGAATGGAGCCTCCTTCTTTCCAAGAAGCTCCGCGCTGCGACGTCTGCAAATGCAGCTTCAACGCTTTCAGGCGACGGGTACTCGTCTCTCTGTACATTTTTTTTTTGTTTCGTTCAGAAATTAATGGAATTTGATTGATTTAGAAGCACCCTTTTACCTAATTTGTCTTTCCCATTGAATCCAGAAGGACCCCATTACTTAATTTCCACTGCCATGGCGTCCCATGCTTTATTGGGATCTCAAAGTTTTGTGTGTTTGTTGAAATTTTCCCAATTGGGTACGATCAGAGCTCAAAATTTGATATTTATGGCCATGATGCTTCTTTTATGATGATCTAAAACTGGTTTTTTATTTTTTATTTATTTTTTTTCCCCAATTGGTATTATTGATTGATCATCTTGCTGCAAGTTACAAGCTTTGAATCCGACTTAAGCATTCAGCATTTATTGCTTGTGATTGTCGTAAGCAACTTACATGTCAGAAATCGACATCAGGGAGACTGAGTTTTTTTTAGAGTTAATGAACCTAAATGCTTATAACTGAATTTACTATTTTTGGAGTAGTTTCTTCAGTGCAATTAATGTGCTTTAGTTTATCATTTATGCAGCATCATTGCCGATCATGTGGGCGGACATTGTGCCACGAACACTCGGCAAACCAAACGGTGTGTTTGTTTTCCTTAAAGCTTTGTTTATCTTTGCAGCAAAGTTTCCAGTTGATGAACTTTTAATGAGTGATCATGTTTTTTGCAATCTCAGGCTTTGCCACAGTTTGGCATTTATTCACCCGTTAGAGTTTGCAGTGAATGTTTCAATGACTGCTCTCGGTAAATTACTCCTCATTGAACATTTCAGAATACACATACTTCTCTACATGCTTGTTCAGTTGTATATCATATCTGTTTTGGCGTTTTTCATTCTTCCATTCCATTCTAATTGTAAATATATTTTGTCTGTGACGTTTGTGCTGTCACTACTAGAGTTGATCACTGGCTGCAGCTTAAGACTCTTGAAATCCTATTTTTAATGAGATCTTGGTGAGCTAAGCTTGCGAATTAGTCAACCAATTTAAGTAGTCGACTAGAAATAGAAACTCAAGGGAAGTTGCCACAGATGACAACTCCCAGTAGAAAGCTACAGTTCAGGTTACATCTTGCCTTGGTTCTAAAGTTGGTATTTATTTCTTTCATTAAACATTCAAGGGCTACTCGTTTGTTAAGTAGTTGGTAATAAAGTATTACTAGGCCTTCAGGGTTGTGATGGTGCTTTAGTGGCAATAATTGGCTAACGGACCTGAGAAGGATCATACAGGTGTACTAGTTTCTTAATCATGTTTACATATGGAGACTCATGGCATGCCTTCCCCTAGCGTGTGTAGTTGTTCATATACACTTGTACTTCTTACTCTTTCCTTTTGCCGTACTGCTCAAAAAGTATGCTTAGTGAAGAATACTGAGCACTTTACAAGCCTCCACCTTATTTCTGTGTTCCATTCTGATATTCTTATCTTTCTTATTTATGCCTACATATGCCACCCCACGCCAAATTGCTATGGTTGGGATATCTTGTCCTTTGCTCTTCTTCTCTCAATTATTTTTCCTTTTATTTTCTCTGAAGGAAATGAAAAACCTTTTGTACTATTGGTCATTTTGGAATTTCTTTTCGCACAGAACTACCAAAGGTGACGGACAAGCTTCTTCAGATGGAGTTGATGGTGTAACAGCTTCAGTTTCTAGATTGGACATTGATGCAGATGTAGATTCAAAGGCTGAACCAACTGTACAGTATCAGCCTGTGTCAGCCAATTCAGACTGCAAGTGTGGAATGCCTTTATGTATTTGTGAAGCGCCAGCGCCATCCGTGGATGCAGCTCCCTTACAGGTATAATTTTTCCAATTTCTTTGGACGTTTCTTCTGCACCTTGTATTTGTCTCAAGGTCATATTTTTGCTTGTGGCAGAGCAAAACCATATCCACCTCTGCCCCTCGGCCGACTCCAAAACCGAAGAAGACAGAAACTACTTTAAAACCCAAAGCTTCCACGTCTAATAGCAAGCAGAGGTTGGTTGCCTCTAGGTTTTTGCCTTCCATATCTTTAACTCCTGGCCTGACATAATGGATAATTTTTGAATCTTCATTTGCTCTGCTATTTCTGTGTGATAAGGTCACAATGTAGACATGCAATTCTATTCGGAAATTGTAGCCATTCTATAGTGGCCATTTCATCCATTTGTTTCTGTAAACTTTAATTCATTGATGTTGGTAAACAATAATGTTTTTGCATTATGCTTAACTGTAAACTGGCAATGTGGGATGTTTGTCCCAAGGTACACTGTGTATGGTCTGTAATTATTTGTATAAACTTTGCAGTTCTGTCTTCAATCTTGGCCAAGCAAACAATGGAATTTCTGATAAAACCCAGACAGATTATGAAGCCAGTGGGGAGGTATAACTTCAAGTTTTATATTTAATCACCAAAGGTACAATCATGCAGAAGAAATTTATGAAATTTATTTGCTCTAGATTATGACTTCTTTATGTGCATTTTTAGGGTATGAGAGAAGCTATAAAGAATAGTGACGTTGCTGCCGTCAAGAAGCTTCTGAGTGAGGTATTAACATTAGAGTAAAATTAATATCTAGAAAGTGGATTTTATGAAGCACTCTCATTTTGGCAGGGTGTTGATGCGAATTACCATGACAAGCAAGGACTTTCTTTGCTACATTTAGTATGATCTCTCTCTCTCTCTCTCTCTCTCTCTCTCTGTTTGATGGTCGTAGTTGTCTGTGCATGTATCAATCGTTTCAGGGCTTAAACTTCTTTTTGTGACACTAATGTCAGGCTGCAGTCTTTAATCAGACTGAGATAGTTTTTGCCCTCATGGACGGTGGAGCACGCCTGGACTACAAGAATGCACAGGGTAATTTTTCCTCAGTTTTCTTAGAATTTAAATTGTTGTTGAACTTTATTTGGTAAGGTAGCCAATAAAGATAGCCAAGGCATGAGTGGGGAATGTCCTGTCGACATAAATTTTTGTGTTTGAATGGTCAAATTGTGCTTCAGTTAGTTTTGTATCCATCTGGTTGTCTCTTTTGGTGAATCTCTCCTATCATCTGCCCAAAAGCTAGGAAATGAAAGGTGGTGATAATAAGAGCAACATTGCTTCTGGAATACAAGACACCGCCATGAGTTGTCTTACCTCTTCCATAAAGGTGCATGTCTTACCAGCGTGGAGCATACCCCCATGGAAGTGGGGTGCGTGCAGCGGGTACCTGTTTAAATGAAGTAACATAAGTATCAATGTTGTTTTCTGGAGTCATAGATGAAAGAAAAGTAATATAAATATCAATGTTGTTCATTTGAGTCATAGACAAACTCTTTTTTTCGCTTACATTTGGATAATAGCCGAGAACACTTTAGTAGCTAGTAGGCAACTTTTGTTCACAGATTGCATCACTTGGTCACTTCTTGACTGGCTCCTTCTTACATACAGGGGAAACACCATTGGACTGTGCTCCCGCCACGCTCCAGTACAAAATGCGACAGAAGATGGAAGAAGATAAAAGAGCGTGAGAACTGCAAGTCTGCGGCTAAGCTATTGAGCATCCAAAGACTGATGTATAACCATTTTTAAGATACGTGTGCAACTCATTTGTTTCCGCTCGAGAAGATTTTTTGAGAAACTACCTTATGGGTTTCTGTTATATATGACACATTTGGCAAAGGACAAGCAACGCTACATTTTTTGAGTGTCAATAAGAGTTTGCTCCGATAGCATTGGAAATATCATATCATCTTCTGTTTGTGATTGGGACACTATTACCTTATCCTGGATTTTGATGCGAATTATGCAATAAAGTTTATGCTTTTGTGGGTTTTGGTGTTTGCTGAAAGGTAATATGGCATCATCCACTTAACTTTTTCTTTGGTAAGTGGCTTTAGTCAACTTTTGCATTGAGGACGTAAGCAATAAGGCAACGGTCATATGTGGGGTGCGTTCTTATCGCTAATCACGGTGAAAAGTAATGGGAAATTTGGAAGAATTGTTGTACCTTGGTGGAATGTGACTAGGATTTGGTGCATCAAAGGTGGCAACTACGCATGCAAATTGCAATGAGTCATGCCCACGTATCATGAAAAAGCTATTTATCAAAAGAAAAAAAAGGTATCCACTTATGCATTCTTGAAGTTCAATAGTAGAGTGCAAATGACACAAGAAAATGAGATGTCGGAGCGGTTGTCAGCTATTGATGCAAGTGAAATCTTATAAAGCATTAATGATTGATAATTCATGTCGTTGATTTAAGTGGTTATTAAAATGTATCGGCAGATGACTGTCATCTATGTCATCAATGACAATTGTGCACACAATCGCTTGTATGATTGCCCGTGGTCAGTCTAACTAGATCTCATAATCTATCAACCGCTAGCTACCACCCATGTACATGTAAGCGACTATGGTGGTTGTCAACTATTGATGTAAACATGCATCAATGGCTAATTGACAACTATATTAATATAAGTGAATCTCACAACATATCAGTGAGTTGACACGTGGACGACAATTGGCAACCCATCTCATAACACAATTGGCCATCATAGTAGGTATATAAACAAGGGGACGAAATTAAAAGAAAAAAGTTAGTTGTAATCTTATGATCAGATCCACATGTTTAACCTTTAATGATGATGCATTGCAGAACTGAACTTATACACTAATAGTCTAATTCCACATACTAATCTTTCTAATTAATCAACTAAACAAACATAATTAAGCGTATTTAAAACCATTGATCCACCGACCTTTGCAACCGACTCAGAAACGCACAAATAAATCAACCAATAACAAATTAAACGACAACGGTGACGAGTCAGTCGGCCACAAAGCCAAAAAGCAGACAGACCCACAGGGGGCTCCACACGCATGACTCTTCCACTTCACAAACGCAAACCCACCTCTTTAAAAGCAGCCGGATGGCATTGAGAACTTCCCCTTTTCCTCCTCCTTCCTCCTCCTCCTCCTCCTCCCCCGTTTTTCTTCTCTTCTTCCTCTGCTTGCTCTGCATTTCTTTTTTGATATGGTTTCTTCGCTGCTCGCATTTGCTCCGATGGGTTTCTTCGTCATCGACGACGCGTCCTCATCGGCCTTGATACTGAGCCACGTACTGTACAAAGCGGCCTTTGTAATTGCTTTGATGAGATGGGTTGTGTTCTGGGCGCTAAGACTCAGGCAAACACTCACCTCCTCCTCCGCCTCCGCCTCCGCTTCCTCAGCCGCCGAGCAGGGTTTTGATTTCCTACAGGCGGAGTACGATAAAGAATCTTGCTCCCGTTCCACCTCTGCTTCTACCCAATTGATCAGGGACGGTCTGATTCAGACCACCTTCGAGGAAGTCACAAGGCGGAGAGGGAATTACGGAAGCAACGGCGGCGGCGACTGCGACACGTGCGCGGTGTGCTTGAGCCAGCTGGAGATGGGGGACGAGGTGAGGGAGATGCGGAACTGCTGCCACGTGTTCCACACCGAGTGCATTGACAGGTGGCTGGAGTACAATGATCGTCCTCATCACCATCACGACGAGGACAATCACAAGACTTGCCCGCTCTGCAGGACTCCATTGCTGACGTCATCGCAGATACAGAGCCTGAGCTGGGATCACAGCAGATCGCAGCCCAGCTGGGCTGTTGAGAGACTGCTCTACCTTTTCGGGGATGATCTGGTGTTGTGATTTGAAGAACTGTAATTTTACCCTAGAGAGCGATTTTGGTTAAGCGAGGTGTTACTGTGTAAATTCTAAAATGTAATTCTTGATTAGTCCAAATTGATAAATAAATAGATATTTGTGAATTATATCGTGAGTTAAGTGTGAGTTAAGTCAGTTGTTCAATCGGTGCGTTTTCAATTTTAACTCGGTTTTAATCCAGCTGGACAGATAGTATATTGTCTTGCACTCGAGTTCAAATCGAAATAAATTGTTAGAATATTGTTTTGTCAAAATTTGAGTTTATTTTAATTAGAGTATCATTTCGTAAAAAACTGAGTTAATTTTGGGCTAGGCTATGAGAAGATTTTCTAATTTAATGGGGATTTTTCTCTCTTTTAATTTTCGGTCGTCGGATCGGATAAATTGAAGAAGATCAAATGACAGAAATTAACAAGGGTGTGAGAGAAGTAAAAATGGGTGTATGGATAGCACACCGCTAATTTTGGGCTAGGCTATGGGATGATTTTCTAATTTAATGGATCCTTTATATACCAGAACCAAAGAATGATCAAGTGACTATTTCTCATACTGTTACGGATGGATTGATTTGGTTTGATTCGGTTGCGGTGTAATATATAATTTGGTAACAGTTGGTTTGGTTTGATTCGGTTGTAGTGTAATATATAATTTTACCAAATTAAAGTTATCAGTCATGTTTTCTTAGTTACTTAATGACCAACAATTAATAATCATAGTTGGTTCTGACATCAAAATGTGGAGATAAAAACACTAATATGGAATTCAATAGTGTGTTATCATGTATTTGTTTCTTGATCTCTTGGTGACAAGGAGAATTTATCTGTAACCTGTGCATAACATGTTACAAAAGTTATAGTAAAAATAACATTAAAATGTGCAGTTTGCTTGATTAACCGATGATTTTTAAAACTTACAATCACATGCCGCACTGATCTTTGGGTTGGTTCGGTATTGTGAACCAAACTTACAAAAAAATAAAAAGAAAAAGAAAAAACAACCAAACCGTTTGGTTTAGCCTAGGTAATTATATTGATGTATTTAAGAAATTAGAGAACGAGACTTGGTATAACAGAAAAGTTGCACTATTGTGATCGAAAGTTCACGAGTTCGAGCTGTGGAAACAAACTCTTTACAAAGCAGGAGTAATGTTGCATAAGATAGATGTTCTTCCAAAGCGAGGAAGTCTTGTTGACTTGTGGTCGCCTTTAAAAAAGTTACATTTTAATATGAAAAAATAACTAAAGTCCAACACATTGGCAAATTTTTTAGGAGTGCTATCCACACACCTATTTTTACTTCTCACACACTCCTTATTAGTTTTTCTCATTTGATATTCTTTCAATTTATTTGATCCGACGACCAAAATTAGAAGGGTGTGTGAGAAGTAAAAGGAGTATGTGATATCACACCCCAAATTTTATAAAGAGTAAATTGTAACAATGATCTCTCAATTTTAATCAATTTGGAGTAATGGTCCATGAACTAAAAATCTATTAGCATTGGTCCTTCAACTCATCAAAATATGTAGCTATGTCATTTTCGTTAACTTCGTTAGAATTTTGTCAAAATAAATTATGTTGGAATGACTATTGCTACAATTGAGATCTTGCTCAACTCATCAAAACGTGTAGCTATAGTCATTTTCGTAACTTCGTCAGAAATTTGTCAAAAAGAGTTATGTTGGAATGACCATTGCTATAATTAGGCTAAAGTTGATGGACCATTACTCCAATTGAGTTAAAATTGAGTGACTATTTTTCCAGTTGGATTAAAGTTGAGAGACCAATAGTAATATATTTTTAGTTGAGGGATCATAGCTAGACGTTTTGATGAGTTGAGAGACTAATGGTAATTGATTTTTAGTTGAAGTACTATTACTCTAATTGAGTTAAAGTTAAGAAACTATTGTTACAATTTACTCAGTTTATAAACTAGTATTTTAATTTGGCAAGAAAAAACGTTACTTTTTTTCATAAACAACCCGGGCTCTCTTAAACCGATGACTAGAAGGAACGACCCGAAGAATAATTTTCCAAATTCCAAGGGGTCAAAATCGAAACATGACCTGAACTGAAATCTGAATCAACCGCTTCCATTTTTATTTGCGCGAAGTCTCAAAGGACCCAAATCCGCCGTGGCAAAGCTCCGGGTACCCGCAGCTCCGCTCCAGTAGAGCAAGACCAGTAAACCAAACCAATACCAGCAGCGGATAGTCCAAAACGACGACGCATTAGATCTCGAGTATACATTCGCTGTTTGCTCGACAAGCTTCGCCTTTATCCCAATTCCCAGATCTCTGTTTCTCCGCTCTCACCTCGCCAGTCTAAACGACGACGTCTTCGCATATGTGATCGTCTTCAACAGTCAATTCGAACAAGGTAACGTACAACTCTCTCTCTCTCTCTCTCTCTATTTCTCTGTCATTCGATCTTCGATTACCGTTGCAATTGATGTGTAATGGATCTTGGTATGATCCGAATTGCAGGCGTACTTTTTCGGAGATGGCGGGCGGCGCAGCTGGCGGTTTTGTGACGAGAGCATTCGAGTCTATGCTCAAGGAGTGCTCTCCTAAGAAGCATGCAGATCTTCAGAAGACTATTCAGGCTTATTTAGGTTTCTTTCTGATTCCCTTGTGAATACACTTATGCATACACATTGCGTATTCGCATGTATTTTTTGGACTTTGGATGATCCGGTGTTTAGTTTGGTTGCGAGATTGTTGAATTGTTTGTTTTTTGTATTTTGTATTTTTAGTGTGAAATGCAGTATTTAAAGTTAGATGAAATCAAATTTTGTTGATGATTGCTTTGCGGGTTGGCGTATGTCAGTATAATGCACGATTTTGTTGGTTTTGTAATGCTTTATGTGTTTGATCTCAACAAATTCCGGCGTTCTGGGAATGGTTGAATACTGAAATGTCTATTTAGGGTTTTACATTCATTGTATGACTCATTAGCTTAATACCCCTATAGTTCATGCAATTTTGTACGTCGCCCTTATTCTTGTAGATAGGCACCAAAGTGCTCGTTCGCCACTCATTTGGCATCTTCTTCGTTTTCAAAATCCTATTGAAAAGGTCAGTGAGCCATGTTATACCTGTCTCTCCCAAAAGTTTCCACACTTCGATTGGTATATCGTCTGGGCCTATTGCTTTTTTATGCTTCATCTTCTTCAAAGCTACAACCACTTCTTCCTTCCGGATTCGACGATAAAAAGAGTAGTTTCTACACTCTTCTGAGTTACTCAACTCCCCTAAAGAAGCACTCATTTCATGTCCTTCATTGAAGAGATTATGAAAATAACCTCTCCATCTGTCTTTAACCGCGTTCTCTGTAGCAAGAACCTTTCCATCCTCATCCTTGATGCACCTCACTTGGTTTAGGTCCCTTGTCTTCTTTTCCCTTGCTCTAGATAGTTTATAGATATCCAACTCTCCTTCTTTGGTATCTAGTCGTTTATACATATCGTCGTAAATACAAGCTGGATGGATGAAGTGGAAGAGTGCATCCGGCGTGTTATGTGACCGCCGTATGCCACTGAAGCTCAAGGGAAAATTTTATAGGACGGCAATAAGGCCGGCGATGCTGTATGGCACAGAATGTTGGGCGGTGAAACATCAACACGTACACAAAATGGGTGTAGCGGAGATGAGGATGCTTCGTTGGATGTGTGGGCACACGAGAAAGGATAAGATTAGGAATGAGGATATCCGGGGTAAAGTAGGAGTAGCCGAAATTGAAGGAAAGATGAGAGAAAATCGGTTACGGTGGTTTGGACATGTGCAAAGAAGGCCTACTGACGCTCCGATTAGAAGATGCGACTATGGGACAGAGGTTCAGGGCCGAAGGGGTAGAGGAAGACCTAGGAAAACTTTGGAAGAGACTCTAAGAAAAGACTTAGAGTACTTGGATCTAACGAAGGACATGACACATGATCGAGCACAATGGCGTTCTAAGATTCATATAGCCGATCCCACTCAGTGACTTGGATTTTCCAAGTCTCCAACCGAGAAGTTTTCCTCACTCGGAAAATTAAGGGAACACTACCCCAACCTACATGCTCCACTCAGAAAGCTTCAACATACAAGCTTCAACAAAAGAAAATTCAAAGAACTTAGCGAAGAAGGCTTTGGTGTATCTAACACAATACGTTGAAATGAAGGAAAGCTTATTTATTGATATCCCCGATAAGCTACAAATATGTACATATACACGAGTCAAAATAAACACACAAAAGGGAGCCTTCACAAAGGTTGCTTAGGAGAAGTCTCAGCAGTCGGTAGAGCCCCAGAAAGAGAAGGCACCGGAGGGGGATCATTTGGAGCCTCAGTACTGGACAGAACCCTAGAAGGAGGAGGCATCAGAGGTTGATCATTTGGAGCTTCATTACGCGGTACAGCCCCAGAAGACGAAGGCAATAAATGCCTTTGGAACAAACCCACAAATCTCTGATGATCAAGTAAAACCTGACCATCAGTTTCCTTCATCTGGTCAAGCTTCCTCTTCATGTTTGTAGCATAGTCATGTGCGAGCCGGTGCAACTGTTTATTCTCATGCTTGAGCCCTCTAATCTCCTGTTTGAGACTCATCACTTCAGCCGCCAATGATTCAACTTGGCGGGTTCGAGCAAATAGGCGTTGGGCCATATTAGACACAGAACCTGCACACTGAACACTGAGAGCCAGCGAATCCTTAACAGCTAACTCATCAGACCGTTTGGAAAGTAGTCTGTTATCTTTGGGAGTGAGAAGGTTCCTGGCCACCACCGCAGCGGTCATATCATTCTTCATCACGGAATCCCCAACGGTAAGAGGACCAGTAGGGGAGACGAAGGATGGGCGCCATATGTTGTCTGGAGAAGGCGGGGCTGCCTCTTCAACAAGGTTCAAGTCAAAACGACGGTCGGAGGGGCCAGACATTTTCAAAGGTGTTGAAGAGAGAAGAGGTCGGACAAATCAAGATCTTAGAAGTGCAAGAATGAAGCTTCTACTGGTGGAGATTCAAGTGTGCTTTGGAACTTAATGCCAGCCCCTATAAAAAATCTGCACTCGACGGAGCTTCAGAAATCGAAGAGGCGCCTGCTCAGAAATCGAAGAGGCGTTTGCTTT